ATTCTCATTCTCACAATTTTTGTCACTCCTAGTACAGCTGTGCACAAAAGCTTGAAGCAACTGGTTGCTAAGGAAACCAGGTTGTAAAAATGACTTTTTGGGTGGATTTATATTTGGAATTTCCTGATATTTTAAGAAACTGATGATGCACAGGATTCTAAGATCAGAAACACGCTCATTACATCATAGTCAACAAATGCTTAACAGAAAAATAAAACATAAAACACACACACAAAAAAAGTGGATTGTAAGCCAATATGGTATCTAAATGAATAAAAACTCTCCAAACACATGGGAATTCAGCACATAATCATCGGCGAGCTACATAGCACTCCCTTTATCTGTTTGGTCAGTAGTTGAAAAAAAAACACAGCAGAGGACCAGGCTGTCTAATCAGAATTAAACAGCATGGCAGACTGCATACCATAGGCTGTAAAAAACATATTTAAAACTAAAATTTAGGGATTGCAAAGAGTGACAGAAAGAATAAATATAAAATTCTCTAAAGGTTATGGGTAGTATTTTTTTTTTTACTTTTACACTGGAGTCTTATGTTTGTAATAAAGTAAAACGTAGAGATACAATGATATGAAAGTCTTGGAAAACATCAACATCTGTAGTTTTATTAATAATGTAGCTTTATTTTTATTTTTTTTATAAATGCATAATGATAACCAATATTTGGGGATCTCGATGCCATGAAAAACCAAGCAAAGTGTCTAAATCACTTTATGCTTCAGATAAAAAAAAAGCACAATTCGCACCGCATCACTATCACATCACTAAATAAACAGTACTAACTCCCGTGCATCCCTGAAACCAAAGGAGCAACTAAATGAAAAAAAAAATAAAAATTATTGTTAATATCAGCCCAGCTTTGCTTATACTGAGAACAAATCATGGAGCAAAGCTAAGCTATTCCCATTTTCAATAAATCAGGGTAGAAATTACTTTACAATATCAACATACTGTACAAGTGATGCACTTTTTGTCTTTTCATAAAAGGTGCCTCTTAATACAGTTTCTATAAAAATATTGTTTTAAAAAAAAAAGTCATATATTAATGTTTATATAAAACTATATACACCGGTCATTCATCTTTGTGGGACACAGTCACCGTCTGCTGGCAGCACTTATTCAAACATCGCCCTACTTCACAACCGTGGGTCCCACTTTAATAGCTTTCATATTAGGAGTGCAACTAATGATTATTTTGCAAACTGATTAATCTGTTTAGTATTTTTTCAATTAATCATTTAATAATCGGATAAAAGGCTAATTAAAAAAATATTTTTACAAAATTAAATCAGGTGAAACTAAAACCTTCCCACTTCAAGAGTTTTAGAGCATATTGACAGATGGAACTTTTTTTTTTCGTCTCTATACTCCATTTAATGACTAATTGATTGCTAAATTAGTTCACCATTATATAAATAATAGATTAATTACGATTAATCTGATTAATTGTTTCATTCCTAGTTCATATTGTATTCCAACACTACTATTCTAAACACTACTGGTGTCCTTTCCCTCACAGCATTACATTTTTTTAGGTTTTTTTTCCAGCCCTCTGTTGGGGAAATCACTGTATATCATTGCTTACTCATGGCACACCAGTCATATGGTCTTGTTGTGGTAAATTTTGAAGAATACTTCAGTTTTATATATACCGTATGTAGTAAGCCAACAGGCACCATTATTTAATCAGAAAGCCTTTGTAGGCAACTAGACTGAGCTACTGCCACTGAAATGTTGAAGTATTTGCCAAAATATATTGCATTTGAAGATGATGGCTGATAGTGTCATTAAAGGCTACTTGCTAAAAATGTTAAAAACATTAAATACAGTGGAATCCGTTTATAGTGGTCACGGATATAGTAATCAACCGCTTATAGTGTTCAAAAGGCTTGGGATAGAATCATTTCTATACAAATGCTGTTTAAATAATAATCAAGAAATCCACTTATAGTGTTCATTATTGGCCATTTTATGAATGCAAACACATGCAAAAATAATAAATAAAGTGGATCGAAAGTGATGACAGCACTCCGCTGTCAGAGCCCGTGACGGATGAGGACATCATCGCGGAGGTACAAGAGCGCTTTGGTGCGAGTACCAGTGGTGGGCGCAGCTAGGAGGAGGATGATGACGATGTGGAGACTGTTGTCTCTTCCAGAGCTGACACGAGGAATGCAGTTTGCATTTTAAAGACTGCTCTCCTGCAGGTTGGTTTCAAGAACTTTTACCTTTTACATCATTTTGAAAAAGAAGTGAACTCAGTGTTGGACAACACTCTGATCCAGGGAGCCATGGATAAATATGTTAAATGATTTCTTAATGCTACCCCGCCTCTCGCCCATTGACTGCTGGAGATAGGCACCAGCACCCCTCGTGACCCCACTTAGGACAAGCGTGTCAGATAATGGATGGATGGATGGATTTCTTAATGCGGCGCAGCAGATCCGCAAAACAAAACAGAGCTAGGCTAGCTTTAATTTTCTGTAGCCTATGTAGTTGTCTTACATGTTGTTGTTCTACGTAACCGTTTATTTCATACTTCAGACTTGTTAAAAAAAAAATGCACAGGCGGCACCAGGCTTTGTTAAGTTTGCGCACAACGCAGTATACTGTCATTAAACTTGCATGGTACTGTAATAAAATTCAGTAAATGCAGAAGCTATCCGTTTCATTTAATTTTTCTCATTGAAAAACCACACAAATGGCATTTAGATGATATTCTGCATAAAATAATGATTCGGATATAGGACTCAACCGCTGATGGTTTTCAATTGGCTCTGGACCATCGTGATCACTATAACCGGATTCCACTGTAGTCTATTAAAAAGACAAATAAATTAGACTATGTTTATTTTTAATATATAACAAAGGGTTAATTTAGGTTGCAGGTTGTTGGGAGGAATAATGCCCCTACTGTGAATCAAATATAAACATAAAAAATAAATAAGTAATAAATATTACATTCATAATAAAATTATAGAGATAAAAAAAATTATCTATGAAAGTATAAATATTTATAAACAGTCTAGAAGGTATATCCATGATGTGCATATAGGACGAGTTGAACAAGAAAAGGATTTAATAAGCGTTTACTTCCTCTTACTGCTTATTAAAATGGTAATGAATTTTATTTCTATTCAGATTTTTTGCATAATAATCTCAGTAAAGATGCATAATATACCAAATCGCATTGCGCATCCCAATGTCAGTGTCAAGTGTCATACTTTTACATTCTGCATATCAATAAAATGTTTGGTGAATTGGATGGGCAAACTGCCCTTAATGCTGACACTTGATGTATATCATTAGAAGTTCAGGTGCTAGAGCTCATGAAGGCGGTGGGGTCTGGGTGAAATGGTAAGAAAAGTTTTAGGATGTGGGTTAAATGTGAGGTAAACTGATTTTTTCTTTAGAATGAAATATGCATCTAATATTAGCAGTCTTAGTTATCTTATGCAGCTTGACTGGTTTGTTGTCCATTACGGTAGAATTACAGTTTTCTTGTATGCTTCTTTCTGTTTATTAACAATTATTGTTTATCATTACAAAACAAGATTTTAATAATTCATTTATAAGGTGTTTTTATAAAGTGAAGAATTTCTTTTTTAATAGGAGAGCCAAAGTTGTCCCTTGTAATTTTCATGAGTAGAAGAGCCAAATTGTAGATATGCAAAGTAGTTAAATGTGCAGCTCAGATAAATTAAGTTAGTCACTCAGAAAACACCAGAAAAATCTAATAAAGACACTTCTACAGCTTGTGTTTAATTATAACACTTGACGCTTTATCAATAAATACAACATCACTGCTTCTTCTCTCTGGTCTTTTCTGAGGATGGAGTAAAATTTCCCATCACTATGGTTACTAAAGGTCTGTAGTTGGCATGACACCCTGGTAGCATCAAAGTAAGCTGAAGTCCAATTGCATTATTTTATGACCAGAAAGATTACAATTATAAGACATAAAAGAGCCCATACAAGAAATATGTCATAAAACATTTATCTGAGGTGACAAAATTCATAATTCATGTATACCAAATATAGTATCGGAGGGATATAATTATTACTTTGCCTTAATTTAAAAGGAAGTGGTAATGACAACAAAATAAATTAGTAACCCATTCTTTCTGCAGAAAACAATGTCTCCATGAAACACATTGAGACTGGAGATTATTTAAGCATTGGACCAAAACGTGGGTGGCGGGAAAAATAAACAAAGACCAATGCAAGGAGAATATAAGGCATTGGACTCAACATACCCTGTCAGGTATTCCGATAAACTGGACAGCAGCAGGCAAGCAAGGTCACACCCTCAAAGATTTTGATATATCAAGCCGCCACCAGCATGGATAAGGGTTTGCATTAAATCAAACTATTCCTTTTAAGAAACCAAAAGTTTGCACTCAAGGTTTAAAAGTGTGGGTTACTACACATTAACATAGTCCCTAGTCAAATTCTTCAAATTTGACTAGGGAATAATAATTAAAAGATCATGTTGTCTAATGAGCCTGGTTTTCCAGAGCACTATGGCAGAGGGTTGCCTCAGGATAACAACAGCATCTAATTAAGTGATGCACTGATCAGTGAGGGGGTTGAAACACATCTGATCTTGATTTAGACAGTCAGGTCCAGGTTCAGCAATATTACGCAGGTGAAAGGAAGTAGAACCACTGCCAAAACATACTGAATCAACGGTTTTTCTAATGCCTTTTTTTAATCACCAGATGGCATTGGCATATTTTAAGAGGAAAGTGTCAGGTACAATCATGCTCAGACTATATGCAGGTCCTGCACCCTATTCCGACATAATACCAACAACAGTGATTGGCCACCAGAGGCAAAGGTTGTTACACTGGGTGCACTTACTGAAATGTATAACACAATATAAGCTAAACCCTATCAGAATATTGGACAAAGAAACAACTTTTTTGGCCAGAAAGACTATTTGGGAAGATGAGAGCCTTCAGCTGGCATCAGAAACGTACCTTGACATAAGAAGGCTGCTTCTCCAAAATTAGATCAGCGACCCTTTTAGAAACCTATGGAGAGAAAAGCAGAATAAAAATGAAAAACACAAAAAAAGTGAAATACATATGCTGGAGTTCACCCTGCAGAAACAGACTGGGAATCGATAAAAAGCCACACCATTTTAGCAGGTTCTCTCTCTTTCTTTACTGTGCTAGTTCATTTCACATCTTTTCCTAAACGAAAACTCTTTCTTTTTTGAGAGGGGTCACTGCTACACCTGTTCAGATTGCAATTTCTAAAGTTTCCACTCTCTGCATTGTTCATTTTAACAAAATCAATACAGAGTAAAAGGCATGCTTGTGAAATCACTATCAGGGCCTTTCACTGCTTTTTAGTATAAATGGAAAAGCAGGCAGCTGTAAATGAAAAAGGTTGGTCATTAAAAACCACCATGATTATTTGCTACACAGATTCAACTACACATTGGAAACATTCCTAAGAGATTTTTGTCTGTATTGACTAACTGTTATATGTTGCTGCAGATTCCAAAAAAAGAAAATGAAAAACAATCCACTGGAAATTTTTTCCAAGTTTGAAGTTTCGCTTCTCATCTAGGAAGCTTTTTCAATTCAAAATGTCAGGAATAGCATTGAGCTCGAGGATTTATACAGTAGCCCAACAAAGCCTTGTTTTTGTTTTGAAAACATGCAAATTGGAACAGACGAAGAGGTCCACTCATTTGTTAGACTGCAATACCCCATACCCATCTAGGCTACGTTCACACTGCAGGCCTTGATGCTCAATTCCGATTTTTTTGCGAAATCCAATTTTTTTTACGTTCCCGTTCATATTTCCAAATATATGCGACTTGTATGTGATCTCCTGTGTGAACTGCAGTCATACAACGCAAGTGTCTCGCATGCGCAGTAGAGGACGCAATGACGTCACAGGCCAGCGTGCTCTTTTTTTCCAGAAGTAAACATGGATGGTAGTACCGTCGCGCATCTAGCGGTCTGTTCCAACCATAAAAACTCAATGTTTTCAATATGGTTAAACATAAATACTGCTCTCAGCATCATCATCTCCCATGGTTGTTGTTATTCATGCCGCTTCTTCATAGCAAGATGCAGAATAGTGACCTATGTCGGGTATTATTGGCGTTCAGGTCGGATGAATGCGACCTGGCCGTTTACACCCAGGTAGCATTTGAAAAGATCAGAATCGTATCGCATTCAGGACCACATAGCCAAGTGGCCTGGGTCGGATTGGAAAAAATCGGATCTGTGTTGTTAAGACTGCCATGAAAAGAGCAGATCCAGTTCGCATATGGGCAAAAAAAATCGGAATTGGGTCATTTCAGGCTGCAGTGTGAACGTAGCCTAAGTGTCTGAAAGGTCAGTCGTTAAAGGGGATTTTTGGCCTGGCTGAATAGAAGGTGTCCTCCACTCTCCAGTACAGAGGGTGGGGCTGCGATAATAACGGGAAGGGATTACCTCAATTGCTGCATTGTAGGTTTTTGAAAGCTGTCAAACCGCTCTGTTTAAGGTTGGTTTTTCTTTCTTGACATAGATGGCTTCCTTCACGCCCCTCTCAAACAATTATTTTATTTATCCAAAATGTGAACATTCTGGTCCTCAAAAGAATGCCCTTTGTTGCTGCAGTCTTGGCAGCTGCACATCCATGATGTGAATCTCGGGTTCCACCATAATATAGACATGTCAAACCGGAATGAGATCAAGTGACTTTGGAGGTAGTTCACTCCAGTGGCCTGGAGTTTATTGACAACTTCAAAGAAACAGGTCTTAGATGATTGGACTATTGTGACTTGGCCCTTTATGCTGGATGTTGCTCTCAGCAGATATTTTCACTGTTTAAAAAGTGACGGACATGGTCAGCAACAACACTGACATATGTAAACATTCAGAGACCTTCAGAGAAGGCGGCTGAGATCGTTCAGAGCACAGGCAGCACCGCTAGAGACTTTTTTTTGATTCTGGAGCTGTGTTGTTTTTCGTCAACGATAACGAAATTATTTTGTTATATCCAGTCTTTGACATAATTATATATTAAGGTCTCCTTATATATTAAGGTGTCCTTTTTTCATGATGATAATGAAAACATGACGAGTCAAGATATGAATTTTTGACAATGAGACAAAAAAAAAAATGTTAGCCGGTGGTCGGTCAGACGTTTAAAATGCATAATTTATTTGTTTTTTGATAAAAAGTTGGGTGAAAAGGTAGATCTTTGAATATTTATATCTCGTTCTCATTTCTATCTATTTAAATAGGATGTAAATGTTTCCTTGTACTGTTATTAAAACATTTTCTCAATTTCCTTTGAATATTGCAACATTTTAGTTAGCACATTCATTCAGTTTAGGTCTGGATTGGCATGGCATTACAGGGCAATTATATAGGTTCTCTCTGTAGTAAACCCTGTGGATTTAAATCTACTTTGACCTCTGAGGAGCAGTAACTTGAAAGAAGAATGTTTTTGTTCTTTGCCTTTTGGGAGCAATCAAGATTTTCTTGATCTGTGTAATGCATAATTCATAGGAGATCAGGAAGTATTGGCTTTGGGACCTTATATGTCTAAAACCATTCCTTTATTGTACATTTTGTTAGCTTGTCTGTCTGCTATATTAACCAATATGATGTGTTGAACTAGAACTGCTATTTTCACAACTTTTTTGAGACACTTCTTTATAAAGTAGGGCTTTAATTCATAAAAAAAAGTCAATTTGAATTATATAAATCAAACTTTTCTAACCACACGGCATAATTCTTTTTTTTTTCCTGCCTGGCAATAAAGCAATAAGAATAATTGTCTGGGTGCCGAAAAAGGGCCCAACAGATTTGGCTTTCAAAAGTGGAGCACTACGGCTATCGCCATAGTGTTCCGCTTGATTTATGCATTTAAATAGCTTTATTATAATTCATGAAGGGAGTATTACAGATTCTATGGACACTACAATGTAAGTAGAATAGGAAACAAGAAAAACAGGAAAAAGGAGAAAAGATGAAAGGAAGCAGAAATAAAACAGAATGATAAAACGTCTGCTTCATCACCTGCAAAGAGGTGTAAAAAGAACAGCACAACCAGTGGATAAAGTATAAGAGATACACTAAAGCAGCACCTTGATACAATCGCTGAGGTATAAGTAGTATTGTTTAATCTGACATCTATACTGTGGTAGCTGAAGATTAGAATATGGACTTTCTGTATGGAAGTGAATCTCCAAGTACCTGGAACCAAGCACCTGTAGTTGTTTGTGAGAGTGCACTTGTGCATGTAAAGTTTATCCAAAGAAAAAATGCTAAATAGTGGTTGTGAAGAGCCAAAGACACGCCCCCCCAGATTATCAAGGCAAGCACCCAAACGGATCCCCAGAGCAAATCGCAGCTTAAAACAGATCTGGGATTTTCCAATTTTGGTAAGCCTAGGTAGAATTAAAAGAGGTCACTCTGTTTCGGTTTTCTGCTGCCGTAGCAACTCCGTATTAAGCTTTACCATCCTTTTATTTAAAAAATTGTGTGATATTCTTGTTTGTAAAACAGCTGATCTTTTAAGCGGTGGTGTTATCACTCTACCATTTCAAACCATTTTCCTCATCTTTCTTCTTCCTGACCCATTAATAAAGTCTTATGTCCACTGCTTTTTTACTTGAGTTTGTCTTTTTGTACTATTCTCTGTATTGTTAAACTTTTGTCCCCTTCTGTCTTTATTAAGCTGAACCTTGTGCTCTTCTCTACAAATGGTGGTAATTTCACTTCATTTTCAATATAGCTGCAGTAGAGGGCTTGTAAATATACTTCATCTCAGCATGGAACTCCAGCTGCAAGATGGCAACAACACACAAGAAAGTGAGGGAAGCGGAAAACATCATCGGATCAAAGCATCTCTAGCTTTTGTCCCGGTTCCCTTTCAGAACTACAGTAAACAGAGCGCTCTGAACACCAAGACAGCTGACACCTTCCACATAAAATATTTGAACTGGTGCCATAGGGGAAACAGTACTACCACACTGCTCTACAGCTGTCCGCCAAAAGCTGTTAAAATGTTAAACCCTTGTGCTTTTTACATTACTGCAATTGTTTGAATGCTTTTCCTCATGTTTTTCCTAGTAGTATTTTTCCGTTGTTATTGCCTTCTTTTGTTGCATCAAGGATGCAACAGGAATCAAGAATCTTTATTTATATGAAAACTGTATTTTTCAGAGACCCCTTTTTTTAATGCAATAACAGTATCCCAAAAAAATAAATAAATAATAAAATAAAACATTTGAGAAAATATAAAACAAACATAGAAAAAAATATATTGCAGAGGCAGGTAATGCGCTAAATGATCTCCAGGACCTACATAAGGCACTTAACCTATTGCCTGGACTGTCATATGTTTTATATATGTACTACCCTTGATCCATAATAAAATATAAAAATGAATTTGCATGTCTTATTGTGGTGAGTAACGGCATTGGTGTTTGATATATGAAACGTGTCACAATATTGCAATATCACCATATACAGCAATATTTTTCCCAGCTATCAAATAAATTTATACATAAAAAAGCCAAACCTGTAAATGTTCATCATAAGATTTGGATCATTTATTTATTTTTGTATCCATGTTGTTTGGGATTTGAGTGAGTTCATGTCTTCCACTGTGACTGCCTCAACTACAAAATATGACGCTGTGCCGCACAGCAAAAGGGCTCCACAGTCTGCCACAGTGATGGTACAGAGGTAGCCCATTTTCCCTTGCTGTTTTAGGTGAAAAACTGTTTTAGTTTGTTTTTTTTTTTATATTAGGAACTGAAAAGTCAAGCAGCCTAAAATCCCAATATTTCGGCAAAATTATTTTTTTCCCAAAACCCCTAATGTTTTATATACTTTTTATTGCTTAGCTTAACTTATGCCTTTTAAGTATACAAAAGTGAACTTTTCAGGTTGTTCTGTACCAAGGATGGTGGCTGTTGAGTTTATAGTAATCATACTAGTCCAGGAGTATATCCTAAGTATATTCTACTTGGTTATTTCATTACTTAAAATCATATATAGGTGTACTCTCC